ACACACACACACACACACACACACACACACACACACACACACACACCCCGGCAGGCTCGTCTGAACTTGAAGACACCCCACATTCCAAGATGCTCGAGGTTCCTGGGAATGCCCGGGGTCCTTCGATTCGGAAAATCCTACCGGCATCCTCCTAGGGAGGGATTATCTTTTTTTTTTTTTTTTTAATCTGGAAGAGAAGAGAGCAAGTTATGCTTTTCCCCCCTTCTTCATGCTAAATGCCATGGATATAACTGAATAAGCGGCTCAGGGTTCTCCCCGCGTGGACGTCCGAGGCCACCATCTGCCCGCATTCGCCGGAGCCGGAGGGTTTAGCTCGAGCCTGTCTCGGGCTGGGAAGGATGCGTGGCCGAGCCAGGGAGCCCGGGCGCCCCGCGGAGCCGGCCTCAGTGCCTCCCAGCCGGGGGTAGATGCTGCCTCGCCCAGGTGAGTGGTCGTCGCCGCTGCGTCTTCAAGATCCCGGGTGTCCGCGGGAGCGGGGCGCGGGGCCGAATGTACTCCGGGGAACCGGGAACTTTGCATCCTTTTCTTTTTCACTTGAGGACTCCCCTCATCCTAGGCACTCATGTGGGCACCCCCTTCTCTTTGCGCCCATTCTTATCGCGAGAGATTTCCTTTCCCTTCCTTCCCCCCCCCACCCAATAGTGGGGGTGAAACTCCGGTGGGGAGACGGGGAAGCGGGTCCGTGAGAAGCCGGAGAGCTGAATGGAGAGATGGGGAACCGCGGGTGGATGGAGCCGTTGAGAGCAGCGGGAGAACTTTGCCGCCAGACCACTCTGTTGCATCTCTGCACATGCGAGGCCTGGCTAGAGCCATTGCTGGGTACTGGGTGGGGGCGCGGGGGCTCCCTGAGCTCTGGGGTCTGGGTGGGGTGAGGAAGAGCCAAGTGCAGCGTGGATGGAGGGAAGAAAGGCATGGCTGCAGTTTAGGGAGGCAGGTAGGGCAGGCTCAGGGATCCTATCTTGCCTTGGGTGGAAAGCAGGGTGATCAGGGTGTGTGTGTGTGTGTGTGTG